TCCATACTGTGCTGCCAGTTTGAATTGCATAAGAGCCCCTGCTGGGGACTTTTGCGTGTTTCAAAGCTGGTACACCGCGTGCAGCCCAGAGTCAGTGGGATTTCCTGCTGGCCCCAGGCTGCATGCAGAGTTCCGCATTCCTCTGTTGAAATGTACAAGAGCCCCAGTGTGGGATCTTGTACATTTCAAAGGAGAAATGCCGAAGTGCCTATCGAGTAATCGAGGGAAATTCCATCGACTACTCGACTAGACTATTAACTGCAATTTAACATCCTTAGACTGTACTATATAAAATATTTTGGCTAAATATCAGTTTATGGAAAAGCTTATGCAATAGATTAAGACAGTCATATACAAGTTTGGGGCCTTTTTTATTTAAATATAAAATCAGCCAACATGTAGACTATAGATTTTCTATCTAGTATATAAAGGATCTCAATACAAGTGCATCTGCCCCAAGCAGTGAACGACAGCATGCATACATTGTTTTCAGTAAAACATATATGAGCATTTATTACTCTTTATCTCATGCTTGAAATACATTAAACATGCTAACATTTTCCATAAAAAAAAAAAAACTTCATGCTGTAAATAAGGTTTTTACACTTTATGTTTTTAATAAAACAGATATGCCCTTTCTTTTATGAAATTTTTGTTTGGCTTGCCTTTGTGAACATTGAGAAGTTTCTTCGTCAGTATTATATATGGTATATATTTTGTTGAGGACTGTCTGATTGCATTTTTTTTAATTAAAGGACTACATTTTTTACATGTATGCCAGTTTCTTAGAACAATAATTACTCACCATGTTATCAAAGTTCCTTACAAACATTTACATTTTTAGGTGGCCAAGAAGAATATGTCTTGTCTTATGAACCAGTCAATCAACAAGAAGGTTTGTGGAACCTCTTACATTTTTAAAAATACATGTATTGTGATATCAAAATGTGTCATGTTTCCCTAGACACGAGCATTACACTTAGCATCCCAAACAGCTGTTACATAGTTTATGAGTTATAATATATATACTGCAATAATATTGTAATGCACCAATACTAATGTTTGTTAATTAGTACAAGTCCCTAGTAATATCTGTATACCATTGATTTTATACAGAGAAAATTTATTTTTAAGAATTTTATCTGAATTTGAATTCTGTCAGATCTTAGAGCTTGATTACGTGTTCTTTAATACTCTCGGTATCTTCCTTTCTGTTCTAATTCCATTTCCCCATTCCAGAGCAACAAAAACTTAGTATGTTATTAAATTATTGATCTGTTTGAATTGCCAGCTAGAGCTGCTAAAATATTTTTCACTGAATTTGACCATTTTTCAAAGTTTTCCACAAAACATTTAAATATTTTTAAACTTTTTGGTTTGAAATATTTTGACTGAAAATTTTTAGGGAAGAAGCTGATTTGTTCCTACTCTAAATATCCCCCACCCTCACTGCAGGATTTTTCCATGATCACTTTCATTAGCTTAATCACATAGTGATTTTTTTTTTCAATATTAACAATTTGAATTTTTGGAAATGAGGCAGCTTTGCTTCCAAAATGTGTCTGGAAAAAATGGGGTCAAAATGTTGTAAAACTTAATGGGATAACAGTTAGTTTTGAATTGGCCAAAATTCCTGCTCAGCTTTTTATTATTTTTAAGTTATTTTTATATGCAACCATTTCATTCTTTGGCAACCTTCTGATCCTTGTGCAATAGCTTTAGATTTTTTGACTGATTTTTCAAGACACTGAGTGGTTACAAAGTGGTTAGAATCTATACCACATTTTTGGAATTTGAAAGTAAAAAGGATGTCTGTTCAGAATAGTCTAAATGTGTGGCAGATAATTACAATAGCATTTATAAAGTACATCAGAAATAAAGAGTCCATTTAAAGTTATAAAGCATTTGCAAGATAAAGCATTTGCATTTGAAAGAATTATCCTCCTCCTTAGAGGTTTTTAGGGAGAGGCCATGGGGGCGGGGAGACTTCTGGAGAACTGAGATTTCTCTGGATCAACCTCATGCTCCGTGTCACAGTTTCAAAGTAAACTGTATCTGAATTCCCCCTCCATGGTCCCTCAAGGAAACCTGCTTAAGGTTTTAACTCTCAGCCATTACACCTCCTTCGGGATACATCCCTGTGGGAGCTCTGCTCAGGTCAAGGTGCGTCCCAGCTCCTTTGATAGGAGATTTTCTCAGCAGTGCACTCTCCTCCTCCCCCCACCCCCGCAGGCCGTGCACGCACTTTGCCTGCCTGACAAGCTATCAGAGTGTAAATAGCACACGCATGGTCCGGGCTCCTCAGTTCTTTCTCTATTGTCCTGGGCCAGAGACAGGGTACAGCAGTCACGCTGCCCACCTCAGGCATAATTTCTTAGTTACACATAGTTATATAGCTACTTAGTTTCAGTTAACATATAGATAGTTGATTAGTATCTTTGTTCTTCCTGTTTATTTAAAAAAACAAACAAAACCCCTCCCTTTCAACATGACAAGCTCTCCCGGTTACAAGAGGTTTTCCTCTTGTAAAGAAGCCATCCCTGTCTCTGATGGCCATTCTCAGTGTGTCAGATGTTTGGGGGAGTCCCTCGTCCCCCAAAAATGTTCTCACTGTCAAAAATTAAAAGTGCGCGCTCAGAAGGACAGAGAGCTGCGTCTGAAGCTGTCATTGCTCCAGGACTCCCTCAGACATGCATTGGACCCTGGACAAAACTCTGCAGATTCTCAGCAAAAAAACTATCAAGTCCAGGAAAAGACCTGCTTCCTGCGCTTCCCCAGGCAGGGAAAGAAGCACAGACTTTCAGTCTCGTCAATGTCAGCCATTCCGCGGCTGAGCACTTTTGACTCTGCAGGCATCTCCGGTACCAACCGTAAGTCGGCAGCCACTTTACAAGGTGCTGAAGCAAAGGGCTTTCAGCTGCCCATCCCTTTGAGTGCACCCAGGGGCCCCTCAGTGACCTTGGTGCCATCCTCAGGCTTGCAACAATCTATTCAAGCAGCAGAAGCGGCACTTCCTTTGGAACCTGCTACTCCGCTTGAGCCTTTGAAGCTGTGGAGGCTGCCTGCCTATTCAGCAGGGCAGCAACAAACAGCTGTGACTCACACCGGCACCGGCACACTCCTCCGCTTCCATGGCACATTGCATGCTCACCTCAGCACGGCACCGCAGTCCCTCTCTGCACCAGAACACACACTGAAGTTTGGTTTTTCTCAGCCCCAGTTCGACAGTGCAGCTGATCTCACTGTCTTCCCCTCTCCAGGGTCTCCTGTTTTGGAGGGGGATATTTCACCAGAGCCACAAGCACAATGCTGCTAGTCTGCTGCGACCCCTCTCCACCTTTCTAGTGGGAAGAAAGATGACTTGGAGAACAACGACCTTTCTCAACCCTATTACCTACCTAAGTATAGGGACCCACACTGGCAAAATACAGCTGCTTGCAATACCCGTGGTATGCCCATCCCTGGCTGGCATCACCTATACCATTCCCTGCCATACTGGAGTAACTGGGAACACTACAGAGTACAGCATATTAATCATCCACAGTGCTACTTGCAGTGGTAACAGCATATTTAAGGAAGCAGGACCTGATAATTTTCCCATATCTGGACGATTGTCTGCTGAAGTCTCCAACCCATTCTCACGCTCTTCATGCAACATCAATGACGATGCCGTGCTTCCAAAAGTTGGACCTTCAAATAAACAAGAGACAAGTCAACATTAACACCTACCCAAAAAATCCACTTCATAGGCACCTGTCTCGACTCCACTACTGGCCGAGCCTCACTGCCACAGGAAAGATTCAGAGCAATCTGCAGTCTCATACACATCACTCGCATCATCCCACAGGTCACAGCTCGCAACTGCCTCCAGCTACTGGGACACATAGCAGCCTCCACCGTTGTCATCCCCAATGCCCGCCTACCCATGAGATGCCTTCAAACGTGGCTAGCTTTGGTATACAAACCAAAATGGCTCAGGCTCCTCAAGTACCTCACAATGCCTTCTGCAGTCAAAGACTCACTACTGTAGTGAACCATCCCACTACACATATGCGAAGGGGTTCCATTTCAACAAGAACCCCCCACAATCACCATCACAACAGATGCATCCCTCACAGGATGGAGAGCGCACACAGGAGAAATCACAACACTGGAACTATGGTCCACTTCCGAAACAACCCTGCATATCAACCTCCTTGAGCTCAGAGCTATACCCTACACCAGCCTCCACTTCCTCCCTGTCATGAGAGGCCGCAATATAAGGATCATGACACACAATGTAGCATGCTTGTTCTACGTGAACTGGCAGCGTGGAGCTTGTTCCCATTCTCTCTGCATGGAGGCCATGAAACTCTGGAATTGGTTCCTAAAACACGTCACCCTATCCGCCACATGGCATCCAAAACGCCACCGAGGACAAACTCAGTCGTTGTTTCCCCATACAACACAAGTGGGAGTTGGACAGTTCCATCCTACACACCATTTTCCAATGCTGGGGGTTTCCCCAACTCGACCTATTCACAACAGCCCATAACAAAAAAATCCCAGAGTTCTGTTCCAGAGCTGGCCTAGGATCCCACTCCAGAGGGGATACCTTTTTGCTCCCCTGGACCAACAGATGTTTTTACGCCTTCCCACCTATACCCATTCTCAACAGGGTAATACAGAAGATCAGAACAGATAATTCACATGTCATTTTAATAGCACCAGCGTGGCCCAGGCAACCATGATATCCCTTCCTGATGGGCATGTCAATCAATCCTCCCACTTCAGTCCTATCTCCTGTCTCAACACAGTGGCCAGATTCTTCACCCCAACCTAGACTGTCTCCAGCTCAGAGCCTGGCTACTCAGTGGTTCTCACATGAAGAGCTAGTGTGCTCAGAACCAGTATGCACAGTCCTCCTGCACAGCAGGACACTGACCTCCAAAAATGGAAAAGGTATGTTGCTTGGTGCACGCAAAAACCTACCTTCCCAACCTCTGCGCCTCTCCACTCAATCCTTGATTATTTACTGGAACTTAAATCCACAGGCCTCTCTACTAACTCCATCAAGGTCCATCTCGCTGCCATCATCGCATTCCACAAAAAGGTAGATAATGCCACCGTATTTGTATATCCAATCACCAAAAGATTTATGAAGGGCATCCAAGCATAATACCCCTATATCAGACCATCTAAACATCCTTGGGATCTACATCTTGTCGTTAATGCACTCATGCACAAACCCTTTCAGCCTTTGACCACATGCTCTTTCTTACCCCTCTCCATGAAAACAGCATTCCTGGTCGCAATCGCCTTTGCCAGAAGGGTGGGAGAACTCAGAGCACTTGTGGCAGACCCTCCATCTACCACCTTCCTTCGAGATAAAGTCATGCTTCGCACACACCCTAAATTTCTACCCAAAGTACTTTCTTCCTTCCATCTAAACAAACCCATTCACTTACCAACATTCTTCCCGAAACCACATGCCAATGGTTTGAATCTGCCTTGCACACACTAGACGTGGGCAGGGCGCTATCATTCTATCTACATAGAACTAAACCATTCATAAAGACTCCTAAGCTCTTTGTCTCCACCGTGTCATGATCTCAGGGAAATGCTATCTCCAAGCAGAGGTTATCTAAATGGATAACTGACGGCATATGCTTGTGCTACCAGTTCTAACAAGTCCAGACTCCTGACTCCAAAAGAGCGCATTCTACACATTCCATCTCCACGTCTACAGCCTTCCTATGCAGCATTCCCCTTGTTGACATATGCAAAGCAGCCACATGGGCATTGGATCTCACATTCGCACGACACTATGCCCTCTTACAGGACACTGCAGCTGACAGTAGACTGGGCAGAGGTGTGTTGTCTGCAGCCTTCCAGCCTAATCCAAAGTCCCTACCGTCCTAAGGGACACTGCTTATAGTCACCTAAGTGGAGCACCCACAGGGACATCTCTCGAAGGAGAAAAGGAGGTTACTCACCTATGCAGTAACTGACATTTTTTGAGATGAGTGTCCCTGTGGGTGCTCCACTACTCACCCTCCTCCCCTCTACTTCGGCTATGACATTTGTCCATTGTAGAGAAGGAACTGAGAAGCCTGGACCGTGCGCGTGCTGTTTATACTCTGACAGCTCGGCAGGCAGGCAAAGCGCGTGCATGGAGCAGGGGATGCACTGCTGCTCAAAGGCATTGGGACGCACCTTGGCCTGAGTGGAACACCCACAGGGACACTCATCTCAAAGAATGTTAGTTTCTGCATAGATGAGTAACCTCTTCTCTCCCCTCTAACTGTGGGTTTTAAGGCTGCACACCTCCCTGTCTCACACTATGCCCAGAAAGCCACTTTGCCTATAGGCCAGCATCTGTGCTTGATTTCTCTTTCTGGCAGGGCCGTGAGAACACTGCCAGCAGTTACAAGTTACTACACGGCTCTTTCTAAGCAAGTACCTTGGGGTAAAATTATTAGATTTTTTTTGTAAAGGTTCTGATACATATGCTAAAAGCTTACAAGAGGTTTCCCCATCTCTCTTGATTGGTCCTAGTACACTAAAGTCTTTTCAAGCCTTCTGCAGGCAATGTGGCCTTTGGACAGGAAGGTCCTGTCTGTTGCTAGATAGAAAGAAGGCACTGATTCCATTTAAATCTGTGTTTTATATATATCCAAAACTCTTTCTTTATCTTTTGGTCTCTGCAAAATAGAGTTTGAACCAGTGTATGCAAGCCTCTCCAGGAAATGGTACCTCTGTGGAGGTATTTAAGACCTTAGTGATTCACTTTAATCACCTACCACTGGCAATAATTCTAGGTAAAGCTGTAGCAACTCTCCCTGCCACTCCAGAGTTGCATATATAAATCATTCCTACATGCAATACTATTTGGTCCCCAAAGATAATGCATGCAGTTGCAATGTCTGTTAGACTCTGCATTCTGCAGCTACCATTGTTCTCAGAATAGCAAGTCTCAAAATATAGTAACTATATTGAAATTCAATACTGGAATTGTTGGATGATGAGATCTTTTGAAAATCTTGATGACTTTAGCATGTAAATAAATGATGAATTTTTCAAAGACGTGGAGCACGTAGCAGCTCATTACAGATTGACTTACAACCTTCAATAATTTCTCCCACCTGGAATACGTTTTGTCTGTTTTAACTGTATCTTAATGTCGTGTCAATAATAATAATTCTTGTTTGGTGAAACGTTGAAGGTGTTTTAATGATCATACTCTAATGAAGAAATATTATCTATCTTTCACAGTCAGTTATACTCGGCCAGTGATTGTTTTGGGACCCATGAAAGACAGAATAAATGATGATTTAATCTCAGAATTTCCAGATAAATTTGGATCATGTGTTCCACGTAAGTCCCAGCAAATACTTGAGCAAATTTAAACAGAGAAGTTCTGCCATAGTCCTACTATGAACTAGGAATCTTAAGTAACAGTTAATTAGCTAATTGAGTTCTCGATTAGTCATAAGAACATAAGAACGGCCGTACTGGGTCAGACCAAAGGTCCTTCTAGCCCAGTATCCTGTCTACCGACAGTGGCCAGCACCAGGTGCCCCAGAGGGGGTGGACCAAAGACAATGATCAAGCGATTTGTCTCCTGCCATCTCTCTCCAACCTCTGAAAAACAGAGGCCAAGGACACCATTTTATCCCCTGGCTAATAGCCTTTTATGGACCTAATAGTCGATAAGGGGGGCACTTGCTACTGCAGCTCTGCATTTTAAATACTACATTTAAAGTGCAAAGCCACAGCGGGGTTATCTGGGACCAATACAGCTCTATCTCCTCCCCACTCCCTGCACTGCAGAGACAGTGCTGGGGGGAGGCGACTGGCTGGTGCTGGGGGTTGCTGCCTCTGATAGAGAGGCAGTGAGTGGCGGGGAAGAGTAGTTGAGTAGTCACTCAACTACCCAAAAAGCCTATGCTTATCAGGTAGTCAACTACTCAACTAGTCCCCCAATACTATGAACTCTGTGTTAAAATCAGTAATTTTTGGATTGTTATATGTCTTTACCTCCTATGATTATTTAAGTGTTAAATGTGAATCCATTGCTCATTTAACAATTTTACGCTAAAGATGGAAACATTTGCCTCTTAAGTATTGTAGACAACATCTAATTTGTGGTGAAAGTTGTAACTTTCTGCTTAAATAGCTCTTTACTTTTTAAAGATACTACCAGACCAAAACGAGATTATGAGGTCGATGGACGGGATTACCACTTTGTCACCTCTCGAGAGCAGATGGAGAAGGATATTCAGGATCACAGATTCATTGAGGCTGGCCAGTATAACAATCACCTTTATGGAACAAGTGTCCAGTCAGTACGGGAAGTAGCAGAAAAGGTAAATCCTGAGCTTGTGTTTGACTTCTATTTACTGAATTGATTTAAGTACCACAGCTATATTAATAGGGCCTCATTTATATTCCATGATCCTCTGAATATGCCTAATAAATAGAGTAAATATGTAGAATTATAAACGGAGAATAAGAATAGTGTAATTTATATACACAACCAGTTCTGTCCACTTTTTTATTACTATAATGTACAGAAGAGTCTTGCTCCTTCTCACAGGAAAAAAAACATTTTTCTCTTGCAGGGATTTAACACATCAGAGTGATATAGTGACATCTCATATTACTAAGATGTAATCTATTCACAAACACAAAGTGCATTTAATGATAGTTAATGTTACCTCAGGATATACCTCGTCCACCCAAAATGGTAAAAGAATGGAAATAAGAGGTTCATTGAATCATAGGGTTGGAAGAGACCTCAGAAGATTGAGTCCAATCCCATCTAAATCATGCCAGCCATGGCTTTGTCAAGATGGGACTTAAAAACCTCTAGGTATGGAGATTCCACCACGTCCCCAAGTAACCCATTTAGTGCATCACCATCTTTAAGGGGAAAGACTCCTGACTTCCTTTCCACCTTCAAATTTAAACAGATAAGTTCTGCCATAGTCCTACTATGAACTAGGAACTAGTAACAGTTAATTAGCTAATTGAGTTTTCAATTAGTCGATAGGGAGGGGGCACTTTCTACTGCAGCTCTGCATTTTAAATACTACATTTAAAGAGCAGAGCCGCAGCAGGGTTATCTGGGACCACTACAGCTCTGTCTCTTCCCCCCACCCCCTGCACTGCAGAGACAGTGCTAGGGGAAGGGGACTGGCTGGTACTGGGGGTTGCTGCCTCTGATAGAGAGGCAGTGAGTGGAAGTGCTTACAGCACCATCAGTGACACACTCTGAACACTTCATAATTCATCTGCAATAAATACCAAACAGCACTCTCTCACTTGTGTTACATGGGTCAAAGTAGGTAATTGAATGGCCTTTTCTGGCCTTAAAAATTAATTATTTCACTAGGCGGCTGGTAAAACATAAGAACGGCCATTCTGGATCAGACCAAAGGTCCATATAGCCCAGTATCATGTCTTCCAGCAGTGGCCAATGTCAGATGCCCCAGAGGGAGTGAACAGAACAAGTAATCATCAAGTGATCCCTCTCCTGTTATCTATTTCCAGCCTCTGGCAAACAGAGACTAGGGACACCATTCCTACCCATCCTGGCTCATAGCCATTGATGGACCTCACCTCCATGAATCTGTCTAGTTCCTTTTTGAGCCATGTTAAAGTCCTGGTCTTCACAACATCTGGAATGGGTTACCTAGAGAGGTGGTGAAGTCATCTGGCTACCTCTCTTATGCCTGGTCTGGCAAGACTACTCTCAGGATTTATATAAAGAAGATTTGGGCTCCAGGAAAGGGGGTGCCAGACATAATGATGAAAGTTGCTTTAGTAACCATTTTTTTTTTTTTTTTTTTTTTCCCCAAAAGTCTCCTTCCTTAAGGACTCCTAAAAGGAGTTATAGATGGAATAGGCCACCCTTTTGACCACCAATTAAGCCTAATTACATTACTTTAGACTCATTAATTTCCAGTCCTACATTGTTGTCTTTTTTTTTTTAAACAGGAATGAACTCAACATAGTCCGTATTGCCTTATTGATAGGACTTTTTGTTTGAACTAATTCAGGCTGTCTCCCTTTCATACCTTTTCCCATTAACATTTATTATAGGCTATGGTGACATCTTACAAACTAGTTGAACATACAATTTGGGTAAATGTTAGGACCAGTTATCACAAGAGTGTTGGGGAAAGGGCAGGTGACACCTATGGAGTTTGTGGGGAAAAATGCAAGGAGTACCTGGTATGTGCTATTCGCTAAGCCTAGTGTGCGTTGATGGAACAAAGTGTGCAGCTCTCTAGTACATTTAAAACTGAGAGAAGAAAATCCCCAACCAAAGTTAAAAGGCATAATTATTTCTTGAACTACTAACATTGCAAGTATATGTGACAGGTATGTGAAAAAAGCTAGGCCAGTATTACTTCCAGGAATAGAAGTATTATCAACCATATTTAATTAAAGTCTAGTTAAGGCTAACACAACTCTAAATGCTGGAGTTTTGTTTGAAATAATGACACATTCTTAGAAATATATATATATATATATATATATATAATTTGAGAGCACAGTGTATGTGTGTGCAAAACTCCCACTTGACTTCTTTGGGACCCAGCTTTCACTTCTAAATAGCATGTAGTGCGCACATGTGTGACTCGAGGACTTCACTCTTTTCCCTCTCCCCTCGCCCTTTTCTGCTTTAGGGAAAACACTGCATTCTTGATGTGTCTGGCAATGCGATCAAGAGGTTGCAGATTGCCCAGCTGTACCCAATCTCCATTTTTATTAAACCCAAATCAGAGGAAAACATCATGTGAGTAGAAACAGTATACCTTATGATCAATTGTTTCAAAGACCGTGAAGGGTTTTTTGGGGGGAGGGGGAAGCTATAAATGATTTGAAAGATGGTATAAAACTCACTTTTGAAACATGTCATTGCTTTATGTGTGTAACTTTCTATGTGTGTAAGGCAGAGTGGATCTTTGATTCTTGGTCTCTGGTACTCATTGCGCTTGCCATCCGCCAGAGACTGGAAATTCTAACAAGCAGCATCCATTGGCCCGAACATGCACAGTAGTTCTCATCATGCTTCAAACTGAGGGAATAGGAGGCAGTGCAAGACAAATCCTCCCATAATTCCTTCATACAGCTGCATGACCTGAGTTGGAATCCCTGCATCCGCAGATTTCTCATTTTCTCATTATAGCCTATAAATAGATATAATATATAGTTTTACTTAGTATAATATGATTAATATATTTGTTCTTTATCTGTACTAAGGAGTCCCTCCTCAGGGTCTGGGACTATGCCTGCTTTCCTGTGTTTCAAGAAGTATTTCTCTGGCCCTTGCTCCTTTACCATGAGCATCAAACACAAAAACTGATTCCACCTGTAGTACAGGACAGCGATACAGTAAATTCAGGATTCACTGGTGTGGCGTCCTGACATGTCTCCTGCTCCATCAATGATGATAAACGTTCATCTGTGTGCATTTTCATATGCTCCCTCAGTATATCATGCCAGCTCTGTACAGATAGCTAGCATAATAGACTTCACAAGAGCCCCCAAAGACCACAAACTCAGATAAGATATGAAGGTACCTGAGTCAGGTTTATTGTTAAATGAAGTACATTAATAAGTGTCGGTAGCCAGATGGCCTCCGAGCGCCTACATATTTGTACCCGGGACAATGGATGCAATATGAATTTCACTGTCACTCCCTAGGCCAGTCAAAGAATTAAGTTGAGATACCGCAATATCTATAGACAGAAATGAACAATCAAGTATACATACCACATGAATCATCTTACACATTAATGACATGTTTGGTACCTACCCTTGTATTTTCCTCCAAAGCTGTCACTACGCATTGTTATGCTTTCACGCTTGTTTCAAAATATTTTATCATGTACTTAGCTGGGTGTCCCTCTACTGTCTTGATGGAATGTATTTACATATTTCATGGGCTTTTATCAATGCTAACAGTTCTAGTGCCGAGACACTGACTTTCAGGCAAACATCGGCTTTGACACGGCCTATTTCTTCAAGCTCTTTCTTTCTCCTACACCGCCATTTGGATATTTGCCAAGTTCAGCATCTGTCATTTATTTCCTCAGCAAACACACAGAGTTCATGAGCTGAAACTCAAAAAACACCCTGTGGGAAAGGCTGACACCACATTCTGATATGGACCAAGGGTACTTGCACTCTACATTGGCCCCAAGAGACAAACAGCATCCCAGCAAGTACAAATTTGGAAGCAGGGACTACTGCTGTTGTGCCCGAGGATGACTTCTACAATGCTTCTGTCGAAACTAGCTGCACTTTCACAATCCCAAGAACAGATCCCCACCCAAGTCTGTTCACCAGGTCAGGTGAGCCTTTGCATGTAGCTCCTTAAGCTTACCTACATTGAAAAACCCCAGGCAGGAGCGTAAAATGCAAAAGAAAAAGGATCCACCAGTTCTATTGGGGGCGCTGACTCCTAATCATGAAGACTGACATTTGCTGGTTCCATCTGACAGCACAGGTCTGTCTCTTGAAAGACCATACAACAGCAGTCTCTTGGAATACATCAGAATTGTTGATCCCTTTTATCAAAACACCCCAAATACCACACTATATGGGCATTTTTTTACACATCACTGAAGGGTCTTTCTTTCTCCCAGTCGCCCTCCCTTTTCTGACCTGATCCTTCCTGGAGCATTGCCACAAAGAAGAATGAGACTAATTCAGTGAGACAGGAACCATCTTTTCTTTGAATAATGTATCTAGGGGTGCTCCACCTCAGTCATTTGAAGGTGTGCATGCACTTCTTGAGCCCTTGTTTGGAGATTTTTCTGTTAACAGAATCAATTTGGCCTACACATGTCTCCTGTACATCCTTGTGCTGCACACCACTGATGAATTCAGTTTTGTAAACTTTATAGGCTACATAGGCCTGCACAGGTGAACTGCCCTTTGTTCCTTCTCAGCCATCTCCACCTGAGATGAAGCCCTTGCGTGCCTACCTTGATCATGCCTTTGCTAACATCTTTATAGTTTAGTATTAGTTAATATGAGAGAGTTGTTAGCTAGCTAGTTAGTAGATAAGTAGTGAGAGGATTTACTTTGTTCCTCTTTCTCCACTAGAGAATTTCACTTTCCTGGCAGGATATGCCTGGCTTTCCAGGATTCTAATGTTGCCTCTTTTTTTTTTTTTTTCCAGGAGGCTGTGTCAGGTAGTGATGGACACTTTCTGTGAGTGCTGCCTCATAGTCTGTCTTCCACAAGTTTAAATTTTGTTTGGCCCTTAAATCCAAAGCAAGCAAGATCCTGAAAATGAAGTTAAGGCTGCTTCTAATGGGTCTCTCCCCAGTTAGGACCCTCTATACCATTTCAATCAAAGCATCAAACACTATCGGTACATAACTTTGGTATGCTCTAAGATTATGGTACTGTCTGCTTAATTTGCTACCACATGCCGTCTTGGTCCTTGGTCCTCCACTCAGTGTCATTTAGATACTCAAAAGACTTATCAATGGTGAATGAACTGGAATTTCCACTGCGTGTGTATATCAAACACATCTCTGTATCAAGAATCTAGTTTTCCTTTGTCGAGTAGTGTCCCCGTGGGTGCTCCGCTGAAGGTGTCGGGCTCGTCCCAGCGCTGCAGGTTGGAGATTTTTCATCAGCAGTAGCTCTGCCGGACCACGCATGCGCGCTTGATGCCTCGCGCCGTTGACACCCTTTTGCGGAGTGCAGTCCGGCCCCTCCAGTTCCTCCTAACCATCCATAGCCACAGACGGAGTCCAGACAAGCTCCTCCTCCATTCTGAGGAGAAAAGGAAAACAGAAAAAAACTAGTTTATTCGTTAGCCCAGTTGTTGTGCGTAGCCCTTCTCGTTAGTTATAGTTCTTACCGTTCAGTTCTAGTTTAAAAATATATATTTTTTCCTGTTTGTTCCTGTTTTGGTCAAAGAAAGAAAGAAGAAAAGAAAGAAGGAAGTGAGAGAGAAAAAGTACCTAAAGAAAGAAAGTGAAATATTCTCAAACAGAGACAGGACAATTGCCATCATGCCTGGGTCCCCCAGGTTTAAAAAGTGCACAACATGCCGAGACGCGATGCCTGCGTTTGATGGTCACTCGCTCTGCATCAGGTGCCTCGGAGAGGGTCAAATCCCTCAAAAGTGCACTCACTGCACTAAGTTAACCACCCGAGCCAGGTGAGACAGAGAAATGCGGCTCAAAATGCTTTTCTTTAATAGAGCAATACAGCCACCAACCACAGACTCATCGGCTGACAAGACTCCTGTGGTGTGCAAATCTCACTATCTCGTCTGTTAAAAGGATCTCTGCACCTACCAGAAGTACAAGTGCGAAAGATAGATCTGGCACCTCGGGTATGCCGCTGTAGCGGGGTTCCCGCTCCACCACAGCGCCCCTGCCGTCTGCTCGGGGAATTATATCTGCCGGCAGGGGGCGCGGTCTCTTCGGGACACTGCCCTCCGGCAATGTCCACAATAGCCTGAGCTTTTTCCCCCTTCCGGGGGATGGTTCGTTGTAGCCCAGCCGGCCTTTAGGAGGCGGATCCTCCGCCTTGGTACACTGGATGGCTAGTCCGTCCTATGGCCCTACCGTGCCTTAGAGTAGTCTGAGTCCTGGCCCTTTAAAAGGTCCGATCCGGGTGCTGGCCGGGTGCCAAAACTCTTATACGGATGCCCAGGCCCTCGAGCAGGGCAGGGCGGCAACTGCTGGCCAGGCCCCAACGCAAGGCGGGGCTGCAAACAAACCCACAGGTCTGTAGGAGCTCCTAGTTCAAGAGCGGGGCCAGCAGTGCAGCTGTCGCAGTGGCAAGGGGGGGGGGAGACTGCCACCCGGTTAGTGGGTGGCAGGGGGCGCAGGCCCACCCACTCCACTGCGCCCCGGCCCGGGGCCCCTGGATGCAGCCGTTCAGCTGCTACGGGCTCAGCAGGGGCTCCAGCCTGCAACTTGCTGGCCTAGGGCTGTCCTCAGCCCATGCTACCCCCTGGGCCACTCCTCGTCTCCCCCCCCCCCCCCCTTCCCCAGTACCTGTAGCCTCAGCGGCCTGTCGGGGAGTTGAGGCCCACGTCGTCTCCGCAGGGGCCGGCGGCCCAATCCAGGGGTTAAGAGGTCGGAGCTTTGTAGTGTCCCATGGGGCTTGTCCAGCCCGGCGTTCCCGTCCCCACCGGGGGTCCAGCTGGGCCAGCGGTGCGGTCCCGTCCTCTGGGTCCGCGAGTGGTTCAGCTGGCGGGCCAGGCCAGGCCTTAGTAGCCTGGGCAGGGAGTCTCTGGCCGGCCTCTGGGAAGGTGGCTGAGGGCGGCCTACCCCGGGTCTTAGCCTCCCCAGGCAGGAGCTCCAGCCAGGCCTCTGGCTCCCTCGGAGGCTGGCTTCTGACTGAGCTCCCAGGCAGCCTTCTTATAGTCCTAGCCCCGGCCTTTGACTTCCGGTCAGGTGAGGGGGCAGAGCTAGGCTGTCCCCAAAATGGCTCCCAGAGGGTTTCTTCTGCTTCCAGCTCAGAGGGCGGCCATTCCACCCCTCTACAGCCGCCCAGGCATGACGGCGGCAAGGCAAACAAGGGCCGAAGCACATAGACTCCAAGCCCCGACGCAGTCAATGACCCAGCACCGATGGTGCAGGCGGCACCATGGCCAGAGTCTGCAACGGCACCAAGGAGGCATGCTAACACAAGGCTGGTGGCCTCGGCACCAACGGTGCTGACAGCCTCAACACCTTGCCGGCGGCGCAGCCGGCACCGGAGACATCCACAGCATCGACATCGTCATTACTGATGCCAACGGCACCGTCCGAACCA